ATTTAGCAATTGTGAATAGTTTGTGTGTTGGTAAGCAATTTTTTATTCAGTGTTTTCACAAAAGCCTTATTTTTATGCATTTTTTCGTTACAAAAAAAAAAAAAAGAAAAACACATGCGGCTAATCACATGAGAGGACAGACTAGGATCATACCATTATGTGAAAGAAGGAAGGGGGACACACGCTCCGAAAATAGCGAGTGTAGTGGTACAGGCCAGGTACACATAGCGACAGAGAGAGGCGGGGGATTTAAACGCAAGCGCGTTGGTTAAAGTCCCCATGAAATCAAAATGAATGTTTTTTGGGTGTTAGTATCAATATGTTAGTATTAAGGTTATCTATAAGGCAGTGTGCTCCAAAACAGTGACAAAATCCGCATTTAGAAGATAGAAGATTCAAAGCTTTTAGTTCGTTACTTTCGCCAAAACGGCTCAACGATTTTTTTGACTTCACATCGTACTTCATCTTCTCATCAAATCTTCTGACCAATCAAACGCTCTCTAGAAGCCGAAGCGCCCGCCCCCTACACTATATATAGAGCTGAAGCTGCGACTGAGATCGGTCGCTTGTTCACAGTGTATTTCCTGTACAGTGAGTGAATGGCACGTAGTGTACAATGTAGGCGATACGGAACGATTCAGATAGTGTAAATATGCTTTTGATTGGGGCAAATGGGGTCTGGTTTCACGTTGTGTCACGCGAACCGCGGCAGCACGCACAGTCTGATCCGGCTTTGGCTCCAGTCCAGAGATTATATATATTAAACACTTTTAAAACTACACAGCCTCAGCATGATTATGATCACTGTTTTGTTTTACTAAGAGTTTCATACTGAATCTAGGGGGTAATCTATTAGACTGTGGCTGTCGAATACGGCTTTACCGAGCTCAACGGCTCTGAACCGTGCAGATATAAACAAAACGCTATTGGCTAATTTAAAAAGGGGGCGGGGCTGCTCGATATGTCCCGCCCCGTCTTCCTGTTTCAGTTGAAATTACGTCACCACATAGAATAACGTTTGTTTCAAGGCACTTCAGCGGACCTTTAAGGTAATGGTAGGAAGACACTGCATTGTTGCAACATCAGTCCCCTCAGAGAGAGTCTTCTCAAAAACAGGACAAATAATCACAGAGAGGAGAAATCGCATCAGCACACCCAAGTTGAGGCATCTGATATCTCTGAATGCCAACCTGCACTTAAGACTAAAGTGTCTTAATGTTAAGACTTTTGCCTTTATTTGATTTGTTTACTGTGGTTCTGTGTTCAATTGTTCAATTAAAGTTTTATTAAAATGTTAAATAATAGTAACTGTATTTTTTTTGTAACGAAAAAATGCATAAAAATAAGGCTATTATAAAAACACTGAATAAAAATTGCTTACCAACACACAAACCATTCACAATCGCTAAATTGGGCTAAAATAGAAGGCTCCAAGTGATACTAAATGAAGAGCCATTTGGGAGCCGTAAGAGCCAGCTCTTCTAATGCCGAGTTCACACTGCACGATTTCTAAACTAGTCGGATCGCCGTTGTTTTCACACTGCGTGACTCGCAAAACCTGTCGGCGAGTGAAAAATCGGGCTAAAATCGTGCAGTGTGAACTCGGCATAAGGGAGCCGAGCCAAAAGAGCCAAATCTTTGAAAAGAGCCGGACTTCCCATCACTAGTGTCCGACTTCACGTCTACTTAGTAGCTGTTGCTAACTCGGACAAAAAAAACAGAGTTGCTAACTGTCTTACTATGACAGCTGTCAGTGTGAAAACCTTGTCCCAAGATGTTTTTGATCAATTTTGGACACAGAAGGACCACCATTCAAGTGAGACTTAAATATGCCATGGAGGGATATCTAAAATATTTGAGAATAAATATGGTGGGTAACAAGATTAATTTGGAAGCAAGGGTTTACAGATCACAATGCAAGCGGGAGAAGCCTCATGTTACAGTCCTCACGATCGCAGATGACAACATCCAGGATTTATGTACAGCAGGTTAAGATTAAATTAATTTACATTTAACCAGTTGAATACGGAGAGGCACTGAAACGTAGACCTTATGTACACCGTACATGAGGTGAGAACAATTAGCTATTTAGGTTGGCACATTTGCATGGACTCACTAACTTTAACGTTAGCTAGTTTTAGCCAGAGATACCTTGCAGCACAAGATGACATTAACATTCTGCTTGAGATGAAAGTTGTAACAACGAGTATATGACAACCAGAAAATGAACATTTTCGTGTTCATTGGGATTGGGGTTGAACGCTTAGGGTTATTTTGCTCCGTTTGGTTTAGGAAATTGAATAAAATAAACTACATTGCCCATCCTCTCAGGATACAGGGAATCAGTTACAAATACCCCAGGCACATCATTTTTCCATTTTTGTAGCAAACATCAAACCGATGAAAGCTTCGGATCTTCCAGTGTTTCTCTATGGCGCTGAAACCTAGGCTGCATCCGAAAACTTAGGCAGCTGACTTGCTGCCGCGCTGCTGTATGAGGCAATGACTTTGCAGGCAGCGTTTTTGCACGAAGGCACCTCATGAAACTGATTTCGGAATGATTTCTGAGGCAGCGTAACGGTTTAATGATCTACAACAAAACAGAACGAGTTTGTGATAACTAAAAAGAATATTTAATTACTATAATACTGATTTCTCGCTACAAAATAACATCAAAAGTGCAAAGAGTTATTCAGAAATATACATTTACACAAACTGACCACCAAATGCAACTTTCAGACGCCATCTTTATTTTTTTTAGCTCAACCGTCATGGAATGGAATGCACAGGATTGTGGGATATCAAAGGCAGCTGCCTTCAAAATTTGATCAGAAGGTACCTCCGGAGACAGGAAATAAAGCAGAATTTGGATTCAGAAGTGCCTTGATGCCTTGGAATGCTGCCTCCAAAGGCAGCATTTTAGAGCTTTCGGACGCAGCCATAAAGATGTCCGATTTCCGGTCCCTGTGCAGCTGATAGTCAATGGCCATTGTCTCATCTGCATTCAAGGGGAGAGGCTTACCTATAGGTCAATTCCACCCCGACTGCAAGCTGCAACTTTTGCCGATCGGTCTGCGCTGCTCATATGAAACTGAACACACTGCCGTGCCCAGCATGAGATCCGGACCTTGGCATTTATAGGCTCATTTAAAAAAAAATAATAATAAAAAGGATTGAGGTTATTCCTAGCATTTGGTGCCACTTGAGTCCCCGAGATATGTGGTATATTCTGTGTTAAAATTGGCTAATACTTTGCTAAACGTCCAGGTCTCCGGGAAAGGAACTCCACTATTTTTGAAAGTAGGCTCATTTCCCAACTCCCCTAGAGTTAAACCGTTGAGTTTTACCGTTTTCGAATTCATTCAGACGTTCTCCGAGTCTGGCGGTAGCACTTTTAGCTGCAGCTTAGATCATTGAATCCGATTAGACCATTAGCATCTCGCTCAAATGTCCAAAGACTTTTGATATTTTTCCTATTTAAAACTTGACTCTTCTGTAGTTACATCGTGTATTAAGACCGACTGAATGGATTCGAAAACAGTAAAACTCAACTGTTTAACTCCAGGGGAGTTGGGAAATGAGCCTACTTTCAAAAATAGTGGAGTGTTCCTTTAAAGCACTGATGCAAGAAAGCAGTTATGCGAGAAAACAGCCAAATGACACCGAAATACACCAACTCTTCAATCAAGCAAATCTTTTTATTTGAGGAGGTGGAGTGGGACAGAAAATCTTTCTAAACCGTTTGAACAAACGGGGAACACATGGCTTATGAATAAAGCACTGAATTGAAAAGATCTCCAGTAAGTGTTATGCAAAACTCCCATGACCATTTCAATGACCACATCCCTGACAATTTCCCTGACCACATCCCCGACCATTCCCTTGACCACATCCCTGATCATGACCGCTTCCCTGGCCGCTGCCCTGACCGCTGCCCTGGCCATAACCGCTAACCTGACCGCTGCCCTGACCGCTGCCCTGACCCTGGCCGCTGCCCTGACCATAACCGCTGCCCTGACCGTGGCCGCTACCCTGGCCGCTGCCCTGACCCTAGCCGCTTCCCTGGCCATAACCGCTTCCCTGGCCATAACCGCTTTCCTGGCCCCTGCCCTGACCCTGGCCACTTCCCTGGCCCTGACCATAACCGCTGCCCTGACCATGGCCATAACCGCTGCCCTGGCCACGGCCGCTGCCCTGGCCACTGCCCTGACCATATCCGCTTCTCTGACCGTGGCCGCTGCCTTGGCTCTGGCCGCTTCCCTGACCGCTGCCCTGACCGCTTCCCTGGCCCTGGCCGCTTCCCTGGCCATAACCGCTTCCCTGGCCGCTGCCCTGACCATAACCGCTTCCCTGACCATAACCGCTTCCCTGACCGCTGCCCTGACCATAACCGCTTCCCTGACCGTGGCCGCTACCCTGACCACTTCCCTGGCCGCTGCCCTGACCCTGGCCACTTCCCTGGCCATAACCGCTGCCCTGACCCTGGCCATAACCGCTTCCCTGGCCACTGCCCTGACCATAACCGCTTCCCTGACCATAACCACTTGCCTGACCATAACCACTTGCCTGACCACTGCCCTGACCGCTTCCCTGACCGCTACCCTGACCGCTTCCCTGACAACTTGCCTGACCGCTGCCCTGACCACGTGGTTCACTGCATGCGAAGCCACCGGTGGTTGGGCAACACTTCTGTGTGGCAGGACACTGGCCATCATGAAAACAGCTTTCAGCACACAGTGGAATCATCTCCGGTATGGGACATTGACCCGGCTTCACTGCGTGGACACAGATAGTCAGCTTTAGTTTGTGCATATAGACAGCATGCCTCTTCAATTTACAGCACTTCACACTCAAAGCATGAACAGCAAGTTTTACCTACAGAGTGAATTATATTCTAAGTATTATTCCTCTTATTTTGTAAAGCCATCCTGTGCTTAACTATCCTAAGGGATGAATTCAAACCAACTTTAGACGAGAAGAACAAAAGGCAAAGTCAATTAAATTAAAAAAAAAAAAAAAAAAAAAAAGCAAAGTCTCTGCTTATAACTTACGTTGAATCCAATGCGTTACTCGTATGTTTTTTTTTTTTTTTGGACCCTTGGCATCCATTATTAAATGGAAACTCACTGAAAACAGGCGGCACGCAAACAGGCCCAGAATCAAATCGACAGCATTTGTGTCCTCCAGGGCAGTCTTCATCAGAAGAACATCCTCGACGGGACGGCACGACCTCCAGCCTCGCCGGACAGAAACCGTCCACTGGAGGATTCAAGAGGATCATTAGGGGAGGCCAGGGAGTGCGGTGTCAGCATTTGTAAATCGGGTTTTGCAACGTGCATCAAACTTAAATACAAATTTTACATATTTGCCTGCTTCAAATCAAGAGTTTTAAAACCTACTAATTCCTAAAGCGTGTTAATTACTTTCAAAGACGGAGTGTCACTTATTTCTGCATTTCTTCAGGCTGTGTAATGAAGTCAACAGATCTTCTCACCTGTGGTTCGTCTTTGAATACTTTGAGCATACTTGAGTTATGCTCAAGTATCCGAACAGACACGATAAAACAGCAATCAACGAGAAATGCACTCGAACTGTCATTCTCCCGACCTGCGATCTCACAACGATCTCTGCTGGAAAATGCGCTGAATTGGTACGTCAGGAGGAGCGGACAACAAAGCGCACAAAACTAAAACGAATACATATTGCTGCAATACCAACCTCTGTAAAATAGGGCATCAACTGCAAAATGAATCTGCAGTGGTCAGGTGGTACAGCGATCACGTTGTGGTACCAATAGGTGTGTTCGACTTCATGCTACGCAGACCGAAGCAGTGCGCGCCGGTTCTTCTTCTTCTTCTTTTTTAATTAACCAGAACAAAATATACAACAGTAATGTACAAGAGTGTGCAAACCAATGATTCAGTAGCTAATCGACAACTGTATATTCGTGGAAAATATTACAAGTCTTGTTTGCTTTTTTATTAACAATGCAGTAGTCCTCAAGTCTCCTGAAGAAATATATGTGTATAATATATGTATTAGTACAACTGTGTTTAAGAATATCAACGTCTCCTAGGAACATGCTGTCTTTAACATATATTGCCTCAGAAGAATCACTTCCATAAGCTCTTACAAATCGTATTACTTGCCGGGGTATGGCGTCAAATACGACAGCATACTCTTTTGGCGTAACTGCGCTCTAAAAATGTTTAAAAACAAGCCAATTTGGGTTATTTTGCCAACCCAGCGCTGGGTCAAATATGGACAAACACAGCTGGTTTGCCTTAAATGTTTGACCCAACACGCTGGGTTGTTTGAAAATGACAATTGCTGGCTTAAAATGAACCAAAAATAAATTGCAATTCAAAAAAAAAAATCACACACAGAGAACTACTAGAGTTAGACTCCTAAAAACACCTTTGCTCACGTGCAAACAAGTGCGCGCACAGCCGCGGATGATTCATTTTCCACTCAAGTCGAGTCCGGGGTGTGCGATATACAGTATATCTTCTGCGATAATATGGTAAGTGTTGTAATGATGTGCGATCTGACATTCACACACAGAGTGCACGCACGTTGATTTATTTGTCTATTAAAACTCAAAATTCCAGGCATTCTAAATTATGGACGACAAAAATGCTTCTGTATGCTTTTTATATTTATACAATTTAATATAGTTAACTGTGCAGATATCTGGCACTATTTGCACCAAGTAGTATAAACAGCATTTAACTACAATTATTGCAAAGAAAATACTCATATTTCTACAGTGAAAATAGAATCTATCGCTATTTGCACTTAGTGAAATTAGCTTATCGCTAGAAAAATACTGCTATATTTACTCAGTGTAAATAGCATCTATCGCAAAGAAAATATGCTATTTTCACTTATCTAATTGCTTAGTGTAAATAGCATATATTTTTGCACTCCGCAGCTGCAGTGGAAATGCAGAGTCATTTTTATTTATTTATTTTTTTTTAACTACGTGCGTCGCCTCGCCAAATTCAATCTTGTACAGGTGCTGCGCTACATTAAGTGTTTCTGTTGGTTCATGAAAACGTCTCTGAAACGTCTGTATTTGACAAATATTGCATTTTATTCACTTAATCTGTGATAAAGTATGCAAGTACTGTGCAAACCAGGGGCGTAGATTACGCGGGGGACGTGTCCCCCCATACTCTTAATATCACGTAAATTCGTCCCCCGCACTTTTTCGGGCAAGAGTGTTCGCATAGAGGTTTTCAAGAGCCGGTGTGAATAAATATAGGTTTAAATTCAAAGAGACAGGATAGTCTGTGCATGATCTGATGTTTTATTCGGACCCAGAATAAGGCGAGATGAAAATCGGGGAGCGCTAAACATTCCGTGCAGTGTATGTTTCATTCATACTCGAAGCCGGAGGGCGCTCTCGCGCAGAAAGTCCTATGAGGAAATTCCTAATATGGACAAAAGCGTCCAGCTCTTGCTGAATGAAAACAGTTTTCAGAAAAACAGAAACGTTGGGTATATTTGACCACGCCCCTTTATAATGACCCCTTTATCGCTAACCAAAGAACAAAATTATTATTTTTTTTGATAATTATTGATCTAGGGAGTCCAGAGAATTGTTCTGTTGTTGTTTGATCGACATTGAGTGAAAAACCTTGGACTAGTTCACAAAAGTAGGTTTTTAACATAATTGAGAATATTTAGTGAACGACTTGATTGACAGCATTATTCCCAGAGACAAAGTTGTTTAGAATGAGGAGATCTATCATATGATAGGAAGATATAGTGTATGTGTGAATATATGAACATGTTCTATAATTTGAAGTCATTCACTATACAAATATTGTGTTTTTGAGGCCTTTTTAACTGTTATAGCGCCACATATGGTCCAATCTCCATGAAACTTTTCATACTCGTTAAGAGTCACCTGACACATGTTTTCACCAAGTTTCATAGAGTTTTGAGGTTTTGTTTAGGTTTTATAGGCTTTTGGGTATATCTGGCCACACCCCGTTTATAAATGACCCCGTTATAAGTAACCAAAGGACAACATTCAAAATTTTTTTGATAATTATTGATCTAGAGAGTCCAGAGAATATTACTGCAGTGGTTTGATCGAGATTGAGCGAAAAACCTAGGACTAGTTCGCAAAAGTAGGTTTTTTAAATAATCTTGAATATTTAATGACCAGTTTGATTGACAGCATTGGTCCCTGAGGCAAAGTTGTTCAAAATGAGGAGATCTATCATATGATGTGAAGATCTCGTGTTTTTGTGAATATATGTACATGTTCTACAATTTGAGGTCATTTTCTATACAAATATTGTATTTTTGAGGCCTTTTCAACTGTTATAGCGCCATCTACGGTCCGATCTCCATGAAACTTTGCATGCTTGTTAAGTGTCTTCTGTCACATGTTTTCACCAAGTTTCGTAAAGTTTGGAGTTTTCGTTTAGGTTTTATAGGCTTTTGGGTATATTTGACCACGCCCCTTTTAAAATGACCCCATTATAGCTAACCAAAGGACAAAATTCAACATTTTTTTGATAATTATTGATCTAGAGAGTCCAGTGAATATTACTGCAGTGGTTTGATCGAGATTGAGCGAAAAACCTAGGACTAGTTCGCAAAAGTAGGTTTTTTAAATAATCTTGAATATTTAATGAGCAGTTTGATTGACAGCATTGGTCCTCGAGGCAAAGTTGTTCAGAATGAGAAGATCTATCTTATGATATGAAGATCTAGTGTTTATATGAATATATGTACATGTTCTGTAATTTGAGGTCATTTTCTATACAAATATTGTATTTTTGAGGCCTTTTCAACTGTTATAGCGCCACCTAAGGTTCCATCTCCATGAAAGTTTGCATGCTTGTTAAGAGTCATCCGACACATGTTTTCACCAAGTTTCGTAAAGTTTGGAGTTTTCGTTTAGGCTTTATAGGTTTTGGGGTATATTTGACCATGCTCTTTTCTAAATTACCCCGTTAAAGGTAACCAAAGAACAAAATTCAACTTTTTTTTGATAATTATTGATCTAGAGAGTCCAGAGAATATTACTGCAGTGGTTTGATCGAGATTGAGCAAAAAACCTAGGACTAGTTCGCAAAAGTAGGTTTTTAACATTTTTGTGAATATTTAATGAATGATTTGATTGACAGCAATGGTTCCTGAGGCAAAGTTGCTCATTATCAGGAGATCGATCAAATGATATGCATATTGTCTGGATGTGTGAAATACCACGTGATTACAGAGCCAAAAAATTTCGTTAGCGCCAACTTGTGGCCGATTTCTTTCAAAATTCTTACAGATCTTTAGGGCCATGATTCTAACATGCCTACCGAGTTTTGTTCCGATCGACTTCTGTTAACCTTGTCAAATAGGTGCTTAAATTTATTTGGCCAATGGCGGCCATGTTTTTTTAGATACGCGAATGTCCTCATATACACTTGTGCCCCTTTGGACCAAGATGCTGCATACCAATTTTCAAGTTGATCGGACCAATGGTTGCCTAGTTATAGCTGAATTTAAGTTTTTTCTGTCTTATAGCGCCCCTAAGTGGCAGAGCTGCGCAGTTTTTTTTATTTGACCAAAGATTAAGCTTGTACACAAGTGTACCGAGTTTGGTGAAGATATCTCATTCCGTTCAAGAGTTATACTTCAATTAACATTTGGCTAACGTTAGCATAGAGGCTTCTTGGCGTACTGTTTCGCGCAAAAATCGAAATTTCAACTTTTTTTTGATAAATATTGATATTCAGTGTCCAGCGAATATTTCTGCAGTGGTTTGGTTCCGATCGGGTGAAAAACCTCGGACTAGTTCGCAAAAGTAGGTTTGGGATATAGGTCAATTTTACGGAAAAACCGTACGTCGTAGAGAAAATCTGTCTGGCTCCAGATTTCAGAATTCAAGTGTTCCAGAAAAACACTTTTGTTTGTGTTGACCCAAGGATTGCAACGATGTAAAATTTTTGAGTCTACGACAAAAGGTGTACGAGTTAGGGCCAAAAATGTCAGAAATTTGACAAATTTGGCCGATTGGGGTGAGCCTTTGTCAAAATGTCCTTTCAGGGAGCTCTACCTTCTGGCCAAGTTTCAGCTCTCTAGGCCTTACGGTTTGGTCTGCACGATCAGTTTTAGCGGAGAAAAATAATAATAAAAAAAATCCTTACAATTACAATAGGGTTTCAGCACTGCGTGCTTGAACCCCTAAAAATACACATGCGGCTAATCACATGGGAGGACAGACTAGGATCATACCATTATGTGAAAGAAGGAAGGGGGACACACGCTCTGAAGATAGCGAGTGTAGTGGCCAGGTACACAGAGCGACAGAGAGAGGCGGGGGATTTAAACGCAAGTGCGCATTGGTTAAGGTAATGGTAGGAAGACACTGCATTGTTGCAACATCAGTCCCCTCAGAGAGAGTCTTCTCAAAAACAAGACAAATAATCACAGAGAGGAGAAATCGCATCAGTACACCCAAGTTGAGGCATAATCACGTCAATATATTATTCCAAGTTTGTCCAGTTGCTAGATCTTGTATGAAACGCATATTACTCACACAATCGACAGACACATCATACAAATTTCAACCCATTCGTGACCTCAACCTAGCAACCTACAACCAGTAGCAGACGCAGGAAGCTGAATCAAGCATTACTGGTAGAAATGGGAGGAGAAGCTTAGGTGGTGCTCAGGTGGGAAAAGGAGATAGCAGAGGTTATTTACACTAACTCCGCCCACCAACGTGTGGTTGGGTTACACAAGATTACAAAAGACACCTTTCATACAACGACTCCAGTGGCATAGTTTTAGCAGTTTTTTTTTTTTACGTGATTGGCTCGAGTTCGAATCCGCCTTTTGCCGAACTCCTTCTCCCTTTTCACATCACATATCACATCGGAAAGGAATTTATTTTCAATAAAAAAATGAAGGAAATATTTGAAAAGTGGAAAATAAGGTGCCTCACAGATGTTTATCAGTTAAGGTTAGGGTTAAGTGTAGGGATGACTTTATTGTCCCAAAGTGGCATGCATTTGATCATTTTAATAAAAATAATAATTTACACTCAATTACCATTGCATACTGTTTTATAATGTGCTACAATCAATATCACACAAAGAGTGCAGTAAAGTTCAGTAAAGCAATAAGTGACTTACATTTTAGAGGTAATATTGCTTGTTTTTGCTCAATTTTGCCAACGAAAATAGTTCCAAACAAAGATCACACAGCACTGTTTTGCATCTCTGAGCAGTGGACGGTGTTTACTTATTGAATGAATCAGCTTTTTGAAGGAATCAGTTGATAAAAATGATTCGGTTGAATCTCAATGACTCACTCATTAACTATACTTTAAGACTTTTACTCAAGTAATATGCTAAACGGTGACTTCAACTTCTACCAAAGTCATTTTCTGATAAGATATCTGTACGTTTACTTGAGTATGGCTTTCAGGTACTTTATACACAACTGCATATTATTATTAACAATACCTTAAAAATGTTCATTATCTGTAACTGTTTATTCTGACTAAATCTGTCTGTGTCTTTATTCTTTTTTATATTCTTTATCCTTAAATGTTATTATGAGTCTTGTTATATTTATTATATGTGTGCACACAAAGGTAAATTCCTTGTGTGTGTAAGCACACTTGGCAATAAAGCTCTTTCTGATTCTGATTCTGATAAAATGGTGTTTTTATGCAAGTTTGAGGGAGTTTTCATTGCATTTACTCCATTCTGACCAGCAGGCGTCACCAGCATGTGGCGTTTTCAGTACTTCCAAAAAGTGAATCATTTCATGAAGCAGCTGGTTCAGTTGATTGAAAGTTTTGAAAAGCTTTGTTTCTCCCATCACTAATGCATCATGCAGTAACTTTGGACAAAGGGGTTTCCCCTAAAGCACTATTGTTAGGAGTTAATGTACTGCATATTAAATGCATATTATAATTTTTTTATTTCACAGTGCATTTGTAACGTTAGTCAAGTATGTTTTTTAGTGAGCGGACTGACGACCGGACATCCAGTGTTGATTTCTACATGTTGATTTCTGCAGCTACAGGTTCCTCTTTATTTAGTGGATATTCATATACCAGTTTCTGTGAAGAGCTGGCTGTCTGGTGCAGTCTTAACAACCTGGAGCTTAACACGCACGCATCATGTGGAGATGATCGTGGACTTCAGGAGAAAACCCCCTGCACTCCCCCCCACTCACCATCATGGACAGTCATTCAGGTTCCTAGGCACCACCATCTCTCAGGACCTGAAGTGGGACACTCACATGCAAAAAAGGCCCAGCAGAGGTTGTACTTCCCAGCCAGGCACAAGAACAGTTTTTTCCCACAGGCTATATTCAGCCTGAACAATTAATCTTTCATAATTATACATTGTCCATCACAACTAACATAGTTATATTTATATTAAACTGCACACTTTGTAAATAACATATCTGCACACTAATAAACATATCTGTACATTTATCTAAACAATTAAATTTTTTCCTATACTTCTATAACACTAGTATAATAAAATAAAATAAAACATTTAATGATGTACAATATACAGAAGTATATAGTACATTATTAAATTTTTTATTTTATTTTATTATACTAGTGTTATATTACATCCCTACTGTGTTATTCCTATGTATGTCTGCACTATGTTTGTACTTTCTTCTACACTGGAAGCTCCTGTAGTCAAGTCAAATTCCTTGTGTGTGTAAACATACTTGGTAATAAAGCTCTTCTGATTCTGATTCTGATTCTGATTCACATAGAAATACAGACTGTGAATATCCACTAAATAAAGAGGAACCTGTAGCTGCATGTACTTCAATTTCTTACCCTTCACTGAAATTGTCTTCTGAAATATTATACAGTTTTAATATGGTCAAGTAACCCAGCACTGATTCATCTAAAGATACTTGAGTGATTTCAGCTTAGCTGACAACTTATAGAGGCCCTATCATGGATTTTTCTTGCATGAACAGCAGTTCACGCAAATCATTTATTGAAATCAAGCATCACTCTCGTATGCTTTACATTTCACACATCAACAGCTATTAAATATTCTGGCTTGCCTTTATGAGCGTCAGTGTCTACAAAATAAATTGACTTAAAAAATAAACTAAAATGATATTGTGTTAGTCAAGTGCAGCAAAAGCAATGTATTGAATTTAATATTCTTATAGAAAGAACGTTCGGATGGAACGCGGTTTGAGACTTCTGGAAGCTCTGGAGAAGAATCAGCAGTCGTTTCGGAAACAGACCAATTACCTTTACTGAGAGCACTGAAAAGGTCAGTCTCAACTTATAGAGAAATCTTTACAAGTACTTTATATGTTTGAAAACCAGTGTCATTTGGGATAGTTATAAGAATATGCAACAACGTTATTTAAAGCCTTTATTTAGTAAAAAAAAAAAGTTGTCAATATTGAGCAGAGAGTGTGTGTTGATTTACTTTGAGTGTAGCAGGTAAAATGAGCCTAGAACTAGAACAAAGGAAAGAGGAAAGTGATGAGAAACAAACTAAAAGTCCATGAAAATGAAACTAAAAGAACATAAATGTTACACTCTAAAAAATGTTGGGTTAAATACAACTCAGTGCTGGGTAAAATAGGGACAAACCCAGCAATTGGGCTGTTTTGACCCAGCGGTTGGGTTACTACCCAGACGGTTGGGTTAAACGTTTAACCCAACCGCTGTGTCAAAACAGCCTAATTGCTGGGTTCGTCCCTATTTTACCCAGCACTGGGTTGTATTTAACCCAGCATTTTTTAGAGTGTACAAATGGTGCATGAAAACGTGAAAAACAGAGGCAGCAAAATGGCAGAGCTGTCTCAGAAGAAACTGATAATGAGCACATTACAGCAGTGACAAGAGAGCGAAACAAAGAATACAAAGTAGTGATGTGTGGATCAGCTCTAAAGCCGGGTCCACATTACATGATCCCCGATGTACCCCTCACAACAATCTTGTCCGTTACCTTGGGCTGTTACCAGGGGCGTTTCTAGGACTTGAAAACAGGGGATGTAATTCTTTGTAACTTTATAATATTCATATATGTTCATATTTGACAAACAGGCCAAATACACACTGAATAGGGAGATAAGTTTAAAAAAAAACACAACAAATTCCTCGTGTGTTTGCACACACCTGGCGAATAAAGCTAATTCTGATTCTGATTCTGATTCTGATATTTCTATCCAAACAGGGACAATTCATTTTTCTAACTAATTATTATACTATTATTATAATCAATAATTATTATGATGCCTGTATTAAAAACCTAATTGATTCAATGCAATTCACCAAAAATCACACTATAAAAAATAGTAACCATTGCAAATAGAAAACAGATCAAGTTATTATATCAAAATTACGACTTTACAAAAATACATTACACAAATAAAACACTAAATAGGAGAACATATGAAAAGTACACCTGTATTTAACATTTTCTCATAAACTGTGAGTATAATGTTTCCAGTAGCTTTTGTTGTGTAAATGTCATTTTATATTTGTGTTATTGGAAATGGATCTTTACTATCCCTAATTAGGCGTATTATTTTGCATTGTATGCTCATTTTGCATACATGTTAATGTAATATATATTTTTTATATAATATAATATTTTTCATGCAGGGTGTATAGGTAGCGTTAAAAATCCTGTACAAAACAATCCACATACCTTGTTCAAGTTATTTAAGTGTTTTTGTTGTGAAGGACCAAAAAGAAAGATGTACTCTTCATTTCCAAACTCTTATTGAAAACAACTCAGAAAATATTTAACCTGTGGCTACAAGTATGGATACAAGTATGGATGCTTCCACATATTTTTTTCTTACCCAACAAAGTAAAAGAGATTTCTTACAAAATAATTTACACAAGTAGCCTGCAAACCATTACATGAAAAATGTCCTCCAGTATTTCCTCCAGTTGCTCCTTTTGTGATGATTCTGTTAAAACTGCCGTCCATCTTTTATGCAGTTGTCCATTTACCAAAACATTTTTGTAAGATATTTTAGGATTCCGAATGAAATTTATGATGAATGTGTATTGTTTTGGAAGGATGTAGTGCTGATTTTCCCCATTCCCGTTACGTTTTAAACGTTTTTTTTTTTTAGTTCAATTCAATTTATCCGACATAATACAGCTATATAT